CAAAAGAAATACATTTATTTATTTTTATTTATGTTTTGTTTTTCGAGTCAGGGTTTCTCTGCGTAGTCCTGGCTGTTCTGGTATGCTCTCTGTAGACCAGACTGGCCTGGAACTCAGAGATTCACCTGCCTCTGCCTCCCGACTGCTGGGATCAAAGTTGTGTGCCACTACTGCCCAGCTGGAATGATTTATCTTTAAAAAAGATTCATTTTATTTTTAATTATGTGTAAGTGTGGGTGCCTGTGCATGTGTGGGTACAGATGTCCCTGGAGGCTCGGAAGAGATCCTGGGGTCCCTTGGAGTTACAGGCAGGTGTGAGTTGCCAGGCATGGGTGCTGGGGACTGAACTCCGGTCCTCTCCCACAGAACAGCATGTGCTTAACCACTGAGTCATCTCTACCCCCTAACTTATCTCTGAAACAATGGGGTAAGAGACAACATTCCTATCACATGGTCCTGGGGCAGACTTTAAGAGCCAAAGAACACTTAGCACCCCAGATTCTAGGGACTGAATAACTTGTTAGGTGCCCCTGGTGGACTGGGAAGGCTGTGTGACTGGAGTCAACCGGATGGTTCTCCAAGCCTGTGTATAATGCTAGTGATTCCTGTAGTGGGTAAGTGTTCTCCATGCAAGTTCAAAAGCCGGACCCCTCAGAGTGCGCCTGAGGGTTAACTCAGAGATTGGAAATTTGATTATACGCAGTTGCTGAGATTAGCATGTCCCCTTAGATCTAGAAAGTGCATGCTTTTCATTTTTCTGCAAATCCTGTGGAATCCATGATTATTACCTGACTTCAAATTAAACTGACACGGACACTCTACCAAGATGCCCAATGCTGCACCCAGAATTTCAAATGAAAATGCTCATAGTGCCTGCTTGTGTACTAATTGTCCCTGGGCTCTGGACTGTGTCCAGGTCCAGCTGTGACCATTTCCCTCCATCCAGGGGAGGGCTATGCCTGCAGAGGCCCGCCTCCTCAGGGATGATGGCAGTGGAGAGCCTTGCCTGTGTGTTACTGAATTCAGTGTGGTCAGATTATGAGCAGTAACCACACTTGTTGGAAGTAGGAGAAAGATATGCAGTTTTCCTCCTTTTTATCAAGTAGCAAGTAAAAGGATTGCTCTTTTCCATATGAATCTGAACCAAGTAAATATGCCATTTAAAAAAATCAACGTTAAGGAGCTAGAGAGGTAGATGGCTCATTGGTTAAGAGCAAGTACTGTTCTTGCAGTGGATCCAAGTTCAATGCTCCCCTATCAGGCAGCTCATAACTACCTCCAGCTCCAGACGCTGAGACTCCTCTGGCAGTCCATGGGCATTGGCACCAGCACACACATACATAAAATTAAAAAATAAAATAAGTCATTAGAAATAAAATAAAATAAAACTTAAATGTTAAGCATATAGAATTGAGTTTGAACTCTACATTCTAGAAAAAATATGTTGAATGTGAACCATAACATAACAGAGGGGTGGGGAAAGGAGCAACTTAATAAGAAGAAAAAATGGCAAGTATTTTATTTGCTGGAGAAGCAAGTTGGGCTAGCCCAGCCTCACAGGAGTGTGGTTTTGGAAGTTTCTCTCAAGTGATTGATAGCCCACCCTCTGTTTCTGGTTTTAGTCTCTGTCTCCTCCTCCTCTCTTTTTGGCTCTCTTTCCTTTTCTTTCTTGTAATAGCCATCAAAAAATTCATGTCAGTTTTGTTTTGCTAAAACAAAGCAAATTACTAGCAATCGTTAAACTCTGGGAGACCATGAATGGATGCCATTTTACGTGGTGATTGAGTTCGTGCCAAACAGCCACGGTAGCTGTTTTGGACTCATACAATTACAGGATCCATTCAGAACATCATTCGTGTGTCCTGACACCCAGGAGAACCTGCGTGATTCACAGCCTATATCCTGACCATCGTCTTGCAGCTGTGATGTCATGCTCTTGAAAGGTCAGGAGGCAGAGTGGAAAGCTACTGGTTGTCTAGAGGGCCAGTTTATCAATTTCTGCTACAAATGGGTCCATGCCAACCAGGATGGTTTGACTGAGGATCCTGGATGTGATGCAGCAAAGTTCCTGTACACCAGGAATGTGGTAGCCCTCGTTCATCAGAAAGAGGGGGAACTGGAGGGAGTAGAGCATCAGGGGGCTCTTCCTCTCCAAGCTCCTCTTGCCCTGCCTGAGTGACTCCAGAAAAATCTAGGACAGTGGTGCTCAGATCTTCCTTATCCTGTGACCCTTCAATACAGCTCCTCTCATTGTGGTGATCCCCAACCATAAAATTATTTTTGTTGCTACTTCATAACTGTAATTTTGCTACGGCTATGAATCATAATGCAAATATCTGTTTTTTCCCATGGTCTTCGGTGACCTCTGTGAAAGGATTGTTTGACCCCCAAGAGGGTCGAGATCCACAGATTGAGAACTGATAATCTGGGACAAGTTGCCCTGCTTTATTCTTCTATGAGGTCTGTGGGAAGCAGGGTAAACACTGAGTCTTTCTGGATGATGATGCATCCGGAGCCCAGGCTCCAAGCTCTGCCTCCAGCAGACTTTGAGGATGCTTAGTGGACAGGTGTCAGAAGACAAAACAAAACCCACAGCCAAACCAGGCTGAACATGGAAAACATTCCTGAGGGCGCCAACAGTGGGTAGCTTTGTGTGTTGTGGTAGTGTAGAAGGATGCCCCAGCTCTGGAGGGAAGCCCGCTGAAGATCTCTCAGGAAACAGAAGCTGTAGGCGGAGCTGCTCTCTGGCCCTTGGCTCCACTGCCAGATGTTGTCAAGTTCTAGCATCACCTGGACGTGTCTGTGAGGGAGTTTCTAGATTGAGGTGAGGTGGGAAGACTCAGGCTAAACGTGAGTGGTCCCATCCCTTGGGCTGGGGTCCTGGATCAAATGAAAAGGAGAAAATGAGCTGCTTCCTGAGTGTGGATGAGATGTGAACACCTCCCCCAGCCCCACCCCCCCCACGACGGAATGTATCCACTTCAACTGTGAGTCAAATAAACCTTTTCTCCCTTAAATTGCTTCTTGCCGGGTGTTTGATCACAGCAACAAGAAATTTTGGGGGGTGGGGGTGGGAGGAAGGGTATTATGATAGTTTGGGGGTGCACCTGAAGCATTTTCTCAAGTGAGCTGGGATGGAGAGGGTGGCTGAGAATATGGCCACAAGAGGACAAGCACACGCTTTCGTTTTCAGAATTTAATGAGGCCTGGGCTTTCCGAGTCACTGCTGGTGGTGTGCAGTTTTCTCTGCTTCTTCTTATCTGTACGAACAGACGGAAATGTCCATCAAGTTCTTTATCTGGGCTGGATTCTGGGCCTCAGTGAAGACTTAGGACCAGCAGTGAAGTGTCACAGATGAGTGGAGAAATCCAAACACTCAGAACACCACAGACTGCCAGATTCTAACCCTGCACTGACCATCTCACCGTCTCTAACCTAGCTAGAGGGGTGCACACAGCAAATTGCAGTTGACTTCTTTGAAATGACTGTTCTTGTTGCTTGTGAGGGTCCCTGGCTCGGAATCCATCCACCATGGCTGTCACCATGGGCTGTCACCAGGGGCTGTTCGTCACTATCCAGTGTACTGCATTCCATTCCAGGGCAAGGCAACCTCCCGGGTTCCTCTCAGGACTGCAATTCCTCACCTATTCTCTGGTTCCTCATGTCTGTTCCATGAAGTTCAGGTTCCTTGGAGGCACAGACAGAGGTCTCCTGGTCTGCTGTCCCCAGGTCTTTCTAGAACTACCTACTTCCAGTTGCCAGTGCATGGGGTCCTTCCTTGGAGAGGCTGCGTCACTCTCCCTGCACGGTGCCCAGAACTTTCCTGTACTCTTGCCATGGTTTGAATTTTCCTTTTTGCACGCACCGCGGGAACTTCTGAAATCCAGGTAGAAGGGCTGATGGAGAGCCATCTGCCCGGGATACAGTCTGGAAGCATGCTTATTCGCCCTTTGGTTGGACAGGCCAATTGCCTTCTCCACGGGCAGCATGAGAATGAGTCATCAAAGGAGCTGGACTCTGCAGTCTTGCCACTCCCTTGGAAGAGCCACTGTGAGGACCTGTGACCGCCCACCGTGGCTCATCCATGCTATCTCCTCTGTGATGGCTACCCTCAACGGGTGGAGCCTGCTTGGTCCCTGTTTTCTCTCTCACCGTGGGCTTTACTGAGACTCGCATATTGCCGTGTCTGCTGGGCTTTGAACTCCCTTCCCACATTGTAACAACGGGAGTGTGTGTCTGACCCTCTCTGCGGTCTACCTTGCAGTATTTCATTTTGTCTGGAATGAGAAAGAAAAGGGGTCCCTCTTCTTGTCTTTAGAAGATGGCCATGAAGAGCTCTTGCTTTAAAATGCTGGCTGAGGTGTGGTTCAGTGGTAGAGCCCTTGCCGAGGGCATGAGAGGTCCTGGGTTCCATCCCCAGCATGAAAGAGAGAGAGAAGGACACACACACACACACACACACACACACAGAGAGAGAGAGAGAGAGAGAGAGAGAGAGACAGAGAGAGACAGAGAGAGAGAGACAGAGAGAGAGAGACAGAGAGAGAGAGAGACAGAGAGAGAGAGAGAGAGAGAGAGAGAGAGAGAGAGAGAGAGAGAGAGAGAAGATAAGACCATCATTGCCACTGAGTGGACAGTTCAGCCTTCATTCCAAGGAGGGGCTCATCATGCCACGGGACCACCCAGGAGGCCTTAGTCTCTGTCAGGAGGTGGGGGATGGGGGTGGGCAAAGAAGGACAAACAGGCCTTGGGTCTGTTACTTACCATAGTTGCATCTCCTTCCTGGGCAGATCATTTCTTTTCTTCCCTCCCTCCCTCCCTCCCTCCTTCTCTCCCTTCCTCCTTCCCTCCTTCCCTCCTTTCTTTCCTTCTTCCCTTTTTCTTTTTTTTGAGACAGGGTTTCTCTGTGCAGCCCTGGCTGCCCTGCAACTCACTCTGTATGTGGACCAGGCTGGCCTTGAACTCAGAGATTCTCCTACCTCTGCCTGCCGAGTACTGAGTGCACCACCGCTGTCTGTCCAGCATTTCTTTCTAGGTGTCTGGCTGCTGGTCGTGGAGAGGTCAGGGCAGAGCAGAGTCCTAACTGACAGTCTAATGAAGGCAGTGGCCACATGTGGGCTTCAGGATGGCTAGCTTGAACAGGCCAAGCATGGTCAGCAGAGAGTTTCTTTCTCTTTCTAGGGACTGGCTTGTCATGGGTGGGGTTGATCCTTGGGGTCAGCAAGGCCCCCTGTGTTGAAGCATGAGAACGAAGAACTAAGTGAGTGCAGGCCTTGATGTTTGGACATCTCTTACTGAGTAACACTTAGGCCGAGCTTAGGCACTCCTCAGTCCATGTGCTTTTCCTGGCATCTGACTTCTGGCATCATTTCCCAGAGCGGGATGAACAACGGTTGATCTGGTAGGAGGCAGAAGACTTCTAAATGATCAAGATCTGGCTTATCATCCTCCACGTCCTGGGAGGACTGGGTTCTCGTGTGTTTACAAGCACAGTGGGTGCTGAGAAGGTACACTGGCCCCTGGAGCTGGTGTCCTCCCAGTGGAGGGCGGGGTCTGCTATGTTCTGGGCACAGCTCCCGCCAGGTGACTTGGCTCCAGGAGGGTGGGCAGCCTTTCCTACAAGCCCAGGGAGGATGTGCCACGCTGCTGACCCACAGGGGCCAGAGCTACACCTTGGAACCCAATCACATCTCTTAGTCTGACTTTGGTATCGGGCACTTTCTGACCACAACTACCATGCCACTGACCATGTGCTCCTCACAACCAAGAGACAGCGTTTTCTAAAAAAATTTTTTTAAACGTTTATTTACTTTGTGTGACTGTTTTGCCTGAATGCATATATGTGCATGCAGTGCCTCTGGAGGTCGGAAGAGGGCCCTAGATCCCCTGGAACTAGAGTTAGGAATAGCTGTGAGCAACCAGGTGAGTGCTGGGAATTGAACCCAGGTCCTCTGCAAGAGCAGACAGAAGCTCTTCGCTGCTGAGTCATCTCTCCAGCTCCAATAACAGAGAGGGTTTTTATTTCCAACTCCATTTCAGGTGAACCGGAGGCTTGTGGGTCTGGGCCTCCCCTGGTCAGCTGGGAGATGGAGGGGGCTGGATTGTGTACCCCAGGGTGCTTCCTCACATACCGTCTGCAGACGGACAAAGATGCAGAGAAGAACCTGAGCTCCAGGGCTGTGGTTTCAACACAGAACACCCTCTGGCTCCAGAAGCAGATACGTTTGCAGGGTCTCGGGGAGGGGTAGCTGGGGCACAAGGAGAAAACACTTCTTGCCTAAGAGCCTTCGGATGGCGCAGCGGCAAAGGTGCCGCAGACAGCATGGGGTGTGCGCCAAGGCGAAGAAAGACCTGTAGAAAGGCTCGTGCATCTGGAAGGAAAGGGGAGGAAGAGAGAGGCAGTGTCTGGAGCTGACATTCTCCCTGGCCAGAGCACTGTCGGCTCATGCCATCCTGCCACCCACAGGTGCCAGGCAGACACAGCAGAGTGGCAGTGCTGTCACCTGAGACCTGGTCTCCACTCAGAGAGTGGCCACGTTTTCCCAAAGTGAAGCGCCCATTGTGTCAGAGGGACAGTGTTGGGGATGTTTCCTCCAAGCCCTTTCTTCCCTGCCCCTGGCACAGCAACCCTGCAGCTCCAGGAGCGATCCCATCAATCTGAAACGGGACAAGCATGCTGTCTCTCTGCAGCAGTGGACTCTGGAGCCACGCTGAAGCCCATCGGCTCATGGCCTTGTAAGACACTCACCAACACGTGCAGTGAGACCCCAGAGAATGTTCTCTGGGAGTTTCTGGAAGGCAGTGTCCCCCCTCTGTGTGATCAACGGCTGCCTGTGGACTCTGTCATGTGTGGATGTATGCAGTGCTCACAGTGGGGTGCAGGTCACATGTCATAATCTGTATCTCCTACGCATGGCCAGGGGCATTCCTGGAAAAGAAGCCATGACTGGCATCTTTCTTGCCTCCTTCCTTCCGTGCATGCTGGCTCCCTGAGCCCCAGCACTCTTTAAGCCATCACGGGGTGGCTGTGTATTCCTCATGTCCAATAGCACTTCACAGTTGTCCCTTGGTGTCCACAGAGGACTGGCTCTACAACCTCTGAAGATACCAAAATTCACGGATGGGCAAGTCTCTTAAGCAAAGCAGCCTCATGTTTGTGCAAAACATACACAACCCTCCCGTTTACTCTCAATCACCTCTAGATTACCCATAATGCAACAATGAAAATGCTACCTAGAGAGGTTGTTGTATGCTGTGATGTTTAGAGGATAATGACAAGTGATGAAGCTCTGTGTATTTTTGGGGGGGATCCAATGTACACCCAATAGTTTGGACCTATGGTTGGTTGGCTCTATAGGGACAGTGCACTCTGATCACTGCCCAGCTTCCTTGTCTTCCTTCTTTAGATCTTTCACTTCCGGGGTTTGAGTATGAAACTCCAGACAGAGAAGTGAGAGGGACTGAGTTCTGGAGCATTGGGGAAAGGGATTGAGGCAACTCCTCACCTGGTATACTTCTTCAGGAATCACCTCTTGCCAAGACTCGGAAACTCGGAGCTTAGTGTAGGAGTTGAAGAGAACTTCAATGACAGCGGGCACCTGTGCACAGGTCCTCAGCACCTGGGGGGGAGTGGGGAGCAGGATGCAGGGTGGTGGGCTTGGGGTTCAAGGGAAGAAAGGCTGGAGATGCAGGCATGTTCTTGCATTTCATGACTGCCGCTCCCTGGCTGTGTCCTCAAAGGACCAAGTCATACCACACAGAGGGAAACGATCCCAGAACATGAGTGTTTTCACTTGAGTGAACCCACTAGGAGGCAGTGGCTCTTCCAGGAAGTCCACATCTCTGGATCACTCCCTGTGCAGTCAGGCTGGGGCTTAATAGTCAGGTTTGGGGGCTGGGGTGGGCTGGGGGATGCTGATGGGTGACAGCCCCCTGCCTCTGCCGAGCTGCTCAAAGCAAACGAAAGCAGTTCTATGGGCAGTGTGGCCTGAGGATTGTGTTCCCAGTTTCCCACCACAAATTTTTAGTATAAGAAAAGAATAGCAAGGGGAAGAATTGTTTTGCTGTTGACTTTCCACTTGGTGTGGCCCCTTGCATTTTATTTCACAATCCCCACAGAAAAAAATATTCTTTTATTTACTTTTAAATATTTAGTTTTATTTTGACTGTTGCTGTGGGATGTCTTTCTGTACGCTGTGAATATGTGTTGCTCTGATTGGTTGATAAATAAAGCCATTTGGCCTATGGCAGGGCAGGATAGAGCCAGGCAGGAAAATCCAAGGGAGACAGTGAAAGGAGAAAGGAGAGGCAGAGAGATGCCATCCCACTGTCCAGGGAACAGCATGTAATGACACACAGGTAAAGCCACGGAACACATGGTGAGACATAGATTAATAGAAATGGGCTGAGTTTAGTTATAAGGGCTAGCTAGCAAGAAGCTTGAGCCATAGGCCATGGCCATACAGTTCGCAATAAGCCACTGTGTGTTTATTTGGGTCTGAGCAGCTGTTGGACCCTGTGGGACACAGGAAAACTTCCAGCTACAGACTGTGTATCTGTGTCTGTGTGGGAGTATGTGCATATTTTAGCTGGGCAGTGGTGGCACACACCTTTAACTCCAGCACTTGAGAGGCAGAGGCAGGCGGATCTCTATGAGTTCTAGGTCAGCCTGGTCTACAGAGTGAGTTCCAGGACAGCCAAGGCTACATAGTGAGACTCTGTATCAAAAAAAAATTTATTTTTCCTTATGTATATGTGTATGTACTTGGATGAGTTTATGTACTCCATGTTCGTGTTTGAGGAAACCAGAAGCATGTGTCTGATCACCCGGAGCTGGAGTTACGAGTGTTGTGAGGAGCCTAATGTGGGTGCTGGGAACAGAACTCGGGTGGGTCCCCTTGAGGAAGAACAAGCACTGTTTTCTGGGTAAATGAGCATGTATGCAGCTGCTCTCCTTTCATCTTTCATATTAATATTTCTTCAATTAAAAAAATCTCATTACATTGGCTGTAGTCTGATGTTTTGTGCTGCCAACATTGATAGTTGGCGCGATCATCTTATTCCTAAGTTTTGTATGTTTTTGCAGGTAGCACCTCATTATGTAAGTCTCCGTACCTGGATTTTCTGTTAAATTCTTTTTTAAAAGAATTATTTATTTACTTGTTTAATATATATTGGTGTTTTACCTGCATGGATGTCGTGTGAGGGTGTTGGATTCTCTGGAACTGGAGTTACGGATAACTGTGAGCTGCCATGTGGGTGCTGGGAATTGAACCTGGGTCCTGTTAAATTTCAATCCTCTTAGTTATTGGGAAGAACTTAAAAAGTAGGCAATTATTGGAATTAAGAAGACACAATCATCATTTAAAGCTTTTTGTTTTGTTTTGTTTGGTTTGGTTTTTCGAGACAGGGTTTCTCTTTGTAGCCCTGGCTGTCCTGGAACTCACTCTGTAGCCCAGGCTGGCCTTGAACTCACAGAGATCCTCCTGCCTCTGCCTCCCAAGCGCCGGGATTAAAGGTGTGCACTACGATGCCTGGCCCTATTTAAAGTATTTTTTTAGGAGTCAAATCCAGGCCTCACGCCAGGCACAGGCCGAGCTGCCAACCTACACTTCTAGTGGTGCCAATGCTCGTCTTTGGCATCGCCAAAGCTTAGTTGTTAGTTGAAGGCGACAATTTCATGTTTTCAAATTCTTCTACAGTTATTAGCATATTTTAGTTTAACTTTTCTGGGATCAAAATCACCTATATCTTCTTGGCAAACACTCTCCATTTGAGAGAAATTAAGTGAAGTGATGTGCAAGGCCACGGGCAGGGCAAACCTGCAGGGCGTCACTGTACACTATAAAGAGGCCCCACTCCATGACCCAGGTGCAGGGGTATCTGAGTGGAGCAGAAGTGGGGTTGGCTCCATTTAGAGGTGGGTGGTGAGGAGAGTTCAGCAGAGAGACCGTGTTCCCGTGGGTCCAGGGAGAGGTGGCCCTCAGTGGTCCACACTCAGGGCGGCAGTTGGCAGGGAAAGAAAACCATGCTTTTCATCCTCTCTGTGGTTCTTCCGTGGTCTCCTGGGCTGTTTTCTCATCTCCATTTTTTTTTTTTCAGAGAGGGTCGTCCCTCCGTTCATTCCTGTGCCCATCTCTTCTCCCTTGTCTCTCATCCGGTTTCTCAGCTTCCGATACCATCCCCACGCCACTGGTCTCCAAGGCTATTGGAATCTCTGGAATTCTGGGCTTGACTATCCAATGGTTTCCTTTACATCTCCTCTTTGTCCCATCCTAGACTGGGTGCATTGAACTCTTAGCTTCCTGGGCCACACACCTGTGGCCCTGGCCCTGGCCTTGGCCATCTTAGCTCACTCCTCTTAGCTGGCACATCTGTCTTTCCGACTCTCAGGCTGGAAGCTTTGGGGCCGTCTTTGTTTTCCATTTCCTTCATTCCCGACATGCAGTCTGTGAAGAAGCCTCCACAGCTCTGCCTTTGAGGTCCCTCCTGAATCAGCGTGCCAGCCTAGCCTAAGTGGTGTCCCTCATGGGGGTCACTGTGTCAGGATTCCAACATTCCTTCCTCTTCTATTCTCTTCCTCATGGCAGTGGGGAGGGTCTGATGAAACATTAGTCAAGTGAAGCCTCTGCTCCGCAGACATCACCAACGGCCAAAGTCACAACAGTGTCCCTTAGAGCCCTATCCAGCCTCCCATCCACCCTCATCACCTCTGAACACCTTCATCCACCGTGGTCCCCTGCTATTCCACGCGCAGGTCAGGCCTCTCCAGTCTCAGGCCACAGACTGACTGCTCATTCGGGTTGCTCATCCCTGGACCTCAGCAGAGCCGACTTCCTCATTTCTTTGAAGTTTCCGTTCAAAGGCCACCAACCTTAACTCCCCAAACTGAACTCACTGCCACATTCCACTTCTCTCCCCCATGAAAAACATCAGGGTAAAAATGAAGGCACTTGTGCCAACCCTAGTAACAATAACAATAAAGTAAAGCCAGGAAGTCCCGAGGGAAGGGTTTGCAGAGCTACATGCTGGCCCAAGATCGGTGGGCACAGCCTCATATGGAAGACGCTTCTTCAGGGATATTTGCCAATACCTGTCTGTCCAGCTTCAGCTAATATCACCCTTGTTACTAACTCTGAGGCTGAGAACTAGTATTTAAAAATATCATATAATTTTCTTAATTAAAAGTACCTGCATTTATTTATTTGTGTATGTATGTAGGTGTATATGTGCCAGTGTATGTGGGCAGAGGTCAGAAGACAACTTTCGGGAAGTCAGTTTTCTCCTCCCACTTTACATGTCTCAGGGATTGAACTCGGGATACCAGGCTTGCCGGCAAGCGCCCTTATCTGCTGCAGCATCCTGCTGGCCCGTGCATTCTCCCAATTTCCCCCCTTTGTTTTGAGAAAGGATCTTGCTGTCTATCCTAGGCTGACCTCCAGCTGGCTATCTCCTGCCTCAGTTTCCCAAACACGGGATTACAGGTGTGTACCACTGTGCCTCACTTACTTTTTGCTTTTGAGACCATTCTTTCCCTCACCTGCTTTGCATTCATGATGGTGTGTGTGCTCCCTCTGTAGTGCTCTGCATGTCCGGATACATGACACTATTCTGAGGAGACGCTCTCTGTGCTGCACAGGCTGACATCTCCTTGGCCTTCTCCTGTCATTGGTTGATTATGCTCATGGCTGATAATATCTCTCTGCCCTGTTTGGCTGCAGACTTCTTGAGGGAGCATGGCACTCTCTGATCTGCTCACCCAGTTATCCAAAGCACCTAGCATCTTGCGGGTCCTAACTGGTGCTTGCATATATATCTGTTGAATAAATAATTGAATAGAAATACTTTTTTGTTCTTAAAAAAAAAAAGGATCAAAGATATGTTTTCTGAGCTGTTCAAATCTGAAAATATCTTCTTTCTTTTGGCATCAAATGAGAGGTTCTTGGCTCAGACTAATATTCTAGTGTCCAAACTTTTCCTTTAAAAATATATTAAGGGAGCCGGGCAGTGGTGGCACATGCCTTTAATCTCAGCACTTGGGAGGCAGAGGCAGGCGGATCTCACAAAAAACAAAAAACAAAAAAACCCAACAACAACAAAACAAACAAACAACAAACCACAAACATATGTTAAGGGATTTTTCAGCTTCCCTAGGCCCCTCTGTTTTGCAGAGAGTCTTTTCCTCTGCTGCATGTGTGTGTGTTTCTTCACCCTCAATAAATGCTGTTCTTCAACTGAAAAAATATGTTGATGAGGGCTGAGGATGTAGCTCAGTTCGGTAGAGTGCTTGCCTAGCATCCAGGAAGCCTCAAGTTCAACTCACAGCTCCATATAAAACTCTGGTGTGGTGGTGTACTCTCGTATCCCCAGCTTTCTGAGGTGAAGGCAGAATGATCAGAAGTTCAAAGTCATCCTTAACTATGCAGCAAATCCAAGGTCAGCCTTGACTACATGAGACCTTGTCTCAAAATATACGTAGAGGGTATTTCATTGTCTTCTGCTGATATTGTAGCCAAGAAATCTGAATCCAGCCTGAACTTTATACCCTTAGAAATAACCTGTTTCCTGATCGCATAGCTAATAAGGTTTTTTTCCCAAGTATTTTAAGAACAGTTTTGCT